GGATTGCCTCAAAGACCTTAAAGATGATTTGACAGCTTCTACAGCCAGTGTAATGGATTTTTTGGGTAATTTATTTTTCATTAGCTCAACATAGTATTTATAATAAGGAGTCCGTTAAAACATAGTTTTAAATAAACAATAATTCTATATTTTAGCAAAGTTATTTTCTTTCCCAACCGTTTTAGAGTACATGCGAGCAGCTGCTTTATCCGATTCTAAGTAATTCAAATTTTAATTAATTATGTAAAAATTATATTTTTTGGATTAAAACCCGAATTAATTTTTTTTTAATAGTCACTCTTTGAAAACTTTGATACCACGATTATATCCATTCTTTCGTCATACAATTACTTCAGTACGTGTCGCAGTACTAAATACTCTGTTGACATTTCTGGGTATGAATGAAATTGAAGAATGGGTTGATCATCGCACTTTTAGACTCGTGTTTCAGAATATGATTGTTGAGGAAAAAAAGGTAGATTCGTTAGAGATCTCTTTTGTTATAACACAAACATAATTACCAAATAATTTGTTTCACATAGGATGTTCTTGGTCTCTCTTTAAAAGTCTGGTCTTGCTTAGTTTCTCATGCGTCATCATCTGTCGCAGAGAATAAGCTCGTTCATTTTACATCTCAACATATTGGAACTTGGTTTTCAATAATCATGACCCCATTAGGTACACCAATTGATCGTCGATTATTTTTTGTTCCTGACGGTCCGATTCCGATGGAAATAGCACCCGTCACGGCATTACCCTCATCTACTAGTTCAAGAAGAAATTCGGGTCGTTCTCAATCAAATAATAATGGAAACACGGTATTGACATCAAGTCATAGCATTGATACTGGGATGTTACAACAAGATTTTGCATTGGTTTCTGTGGATATTGTGTTAAGAGGGAGAGTGACTGCTTCTAAAGGCTTGGGAATATTGATGAGTTATTGGCCTAATGATGTAGGATATATGTATTCATTTTGTTTGTTTCACGTGACTTTCTCTTATTAAGTATTATATAAACTTCAGTCTTTAGAAACAACATTTAAGGATTTTATTTTAGCATATCTTTCTTCTCCATGGGCATCAAATAAACAATTAGCGGCAGTCATCACCGAAGAATGGTCACGATCTACAATAGTCAACATTCAGACCCCATTGACCCAGGTTTCTCCTCTAGTCTCGATTATTTCTAGCTTTATGATTTCGATATTAGAGTCTAACCCGCCGAACTTTTATTCCGAACTTGTTTCTGTTCTCCGCCGTATTCGAGCGGAATGCCAAGCAATGCTTAATACGTTCGTATCCGTTGGAAAAGTTAGCCCCAATAATATTCCACCGTTACCTACTCAAGTTATTGGAGAAGCAATCCAAACAGACAATTCAACTACTTTGTTTAGCGTAGAAGTAGCCGCGGAAATGTCGGAAAATGTCTTCAAAAATTTATTGACTCAAGTATTAGGTAGAAATCGTAAATCTTCAACCGAGGATGTAGAGAGTCAGCTACATGATCGCCAGCGCCGTGTAGTAGCTTCAATTGGATATTATGAGGCTACGAAACAAAAAAATGATGTTATTGTATTCGCGGCAAT